GGGCGCCCCGCCCTGGCTGGCGCCTAGTAAGGGGCGCTCCTTGGGGGGCACGTGCACACGGGCGCGGGCTCGGGTGCAGCGCCCAGCGGGCCCGAGGTGTCTTTTGGGGGACCCGCTTTTTCCTTGGTCTTTCCTGAGGGCCCCCAGTTCCTCCAACCCTGGCCCGGGGCCTTTTTCACCCCAAGTCTGATTGGGCCACTTAGCACCAATCAGCTCCTAGCTCGCACTTGATTGGTGCGGTCCAGACCCGGGACGTGCAGCAGTTGTGTAAATGTGCTCCAGGCGCCCCTCAACGCCCCCAGCGGGGACGGTGCTCTGCGGGTGGCGGCACCTCACTTGGGTTGTTTCGCAGCCCCTCGTGGGGCGTGATAAGCAGCTTGTCTCGTGCCAGTTTGCTCCCTACGTGTCTTCGCCGCCGAGCGAGCTGTTCGAACCTTTTGCTCATTTCCCAAAGCGGGTTGTTCCTGATGATGTTTAAGAGCTTTGCAGAGTTTGGATAACAGACTTTTGTTAAATACGTGTTTTGTAAATATTTCTCCCACTCTGACTTCTTATGCCCTTGGCAGCCCCTTCTTTTTTTATTTATTTTTTTATTATATAACAGTTTATTTTTACATCATTTTGTACATTTTTTTTCCCATCTCAATTGTAATCCCGCGGGTTTCATTCACCATGTCACCCGTGTGGCAGCCCCCTCTTTTAAGGAAAAATTACTTTCAGTAGTAACCCTGAAATGAAGTGACTAATAATAATGACCAGAAGGGAAACAGTGAAAATATTATTTTAGTAAACTTGACCAAATGTGATAAATTTCTTTTTAAAAATATGCCTGCGAAGAACTGGGTGCCCGCCAGGTGTGCGAGGGTGAGAGGACTCCCCAGAGACAGAGTGGGGCGCAGAATAGGTAAATGGACTGAGACCCACTGCTGAGGGGAGCAGCAGGGAGACAGGCAGGGTCTGCTGCGCCCTGTGGGTCGCTCACTGGCGGGGGATGGACTCGGGCTGCAGGAGCTGCAGACAGCTGCATACTGCTGAGACTTAGCCCCTGCACCACCACGGAGGCCAGAAAGCCCAATTTTTTTCAGGTACTTAGACTCTTCTGACACACTGAGAGGTTCTGCCATCTGCATCATCTGTATTATCTTGTGTAGACAGAATGACCCTGCACCCAGAAAGGTTTGCACCAAGTTGCATTCATAATTCCTGAGTGCACGGTTATAACTGCCAATTCTGTAATGACCCCATTTCTCTGCCATATTATTTAACGAGGTGTCTTGATTTAATTGTATTTTCAACACCGGTTAAAAGCCCAGTGAAAACTTAATAAATTTAGTCTCTACTTGATTCTGAGATGAAAAGTTACAGATGGAAACAACCACCCGAAAACAAGAAAAGTAACAGAATTGCGGTGCAAAAAACAATCAGCTCTGCCCAGACTTTTCTTGAGAAACACCCTTCTGAGGTCACTACAAAGCACCACTGTTCATCAGAAGGGTGGAGGAAATCTAAGTATCTGAAAGTTCTTGTGCCCAGAAGGAGAACGGGACCCTCTGAAATCAAGTCTTCCTGGTTTCTGTAAACAAGAGATGAGCTGTTCTTCCCAGTAACCTGGGCTAGAACTGATTGGCTTTAGGAAGGTGAAGCCCATGCCTCCACTAGATTGTTAGTGTTGCCAAGTGGAAGTATCTACACCCAGCTACTATCTCCTGGTATCTTGTGTGTCAAACAGGCCTTTTGCGTTTAGAACTGGCTTTTTTTTTTTTTTAATATATACAACAGTGTATTTTTACATCATTTTGTGCCTTTTTCTATCTGTTTGGTGATGGCTTCCCATCACCAAATCACCCGTGTGCCATCACTGTCATCCCATTCCCCATTCCATTCCCCACTGCACCCGGTAAAGTGTCTCTAGTATATAGCTGTTCGTCACTAGTATTATCCCCCCCTCCCCCTGATCCCTTATGCTCCTGCTATGAGAGAAACCATCTGCTATTTTTTTTCTTTCTGGCTTATTTCACTAAGCAAGATCCCTTCCACTAGCTGGGTTTTTAATTGTTACTAACTTCTAAGAGGACATTTCCTTTTCTGCAGATAAGGAAGTAGACGGCAAGAGCTACAAGGCTGAGTTAGAATTCTGCCGTGACTCCAGCTGGGTGATGAGCAAGAATGTGACTGGTCACAGGTGCTGGAGCCCAGGGTTCTGCTGGGTCTCGGTGTGAGGATACAGTTGTGGAAGAAACATAAATAACTTCCTCTGCATTGCTGCAACCAGCTGCCAGATATCAAGACCCTGGGATTATGATCTTTCTAAAACTTAAAAAAAAAAAAAATCGCCAAGGAAATTGTTTAATGAGATCTGTCTTTGTCATAACAGTATTTCTGGCTTTTCTCAGCCTCAAGTTACCTAGAACAGCTTGTACATTTTAAGTCGTTGTCTTTATAAAAAAGACATGTGTGAACCCGTTGTGTTCCAGAGTAACAACTGAAAGCTTTTCCCTAAAACTATGTTATTTCAAATAAAGTTAGATTATTTTTTTAAAAAAAGATTTATTTATGCATTCAAAAACTGGGGTATTGGCCAGAGGTGTGAGGGTGAGAGGACTCCCAGAGACAGAGTGGGGAGCAGCATAGGTAGATCGATGAAGTACACAGCTGAGGGGAGCAGCAGAGAGACAGGAGAGGTCTGGGGGACAGACGGTGGGCTGCAGTAACTGAAGACAGCTTCACAGCGCTGTGCTCTAACCACTGTGCCCGCAGGGGCCTCTTCTTTGTAAAGGAAGTTTACAGGAGGCAGGTGCTGCTTTGCTGCATTGTGTACCCTTGGCTGAGTAGTTTCAGAATACTGTGTGGTCTGCAGAGCTAAAGGTCCTGCCCTCTGGCCCTTGACAGAGTTTGACAGCTTTGCTCTACTTTTTAATTCAACATTAATGGAGCACCTCCTATGTGCCAGTTCCAAACCACTTCTGTGTCCTGGCTCAGTGGAGAAATAGGAACGAAGTATACTGCTGAGGGGAGCAGCGGGCGGGTCAGGAGGGGTCTGCTGCACCCTGGGGGTCACCTGTGGGGCGGGGATCAAACTGGCACTGAAGTGGCTGTGGCTAACGTGCAGTGCTGGGCTTTAACCCACTGCGCCACCAGGGAGGGCCTGATAATATCATACTGCATTCTTGAACATAAAACATGCTGTCATGAACTCTGTTGGGACCACGGGCATGAACTGGGATTGTCCTAAGTAAATTTCTAGTAATCTGAGGTTGGAGATGAGTTTAATTCTGAGCAAAGTGAGTTTGAGGGGGCAGCTGCTTGCCTGTGTAGTAGCCAACTATCAACAAATACATGGGAAAGATCGGGGACACAAGTAAGACCTGAGGCCCTTGCGGTGGCCCAGGAGTTGCCTCAGCACTGTCACCTCCTGGCGTGAGTAGGATCCCCGGCCAGGGTGGACTTCAGTAAAATCGCCTGTTCTTTCCACCCTGTCTATGGTGAATCTGCTCAATCCCTGCAACCGCTGGCCCACACCCCAACTTTTCTTCATACAAAAACCCAACAAAACTCAACAAAGCTATTTTGTGGCATTTGAGTTTGGAGTGGAGCAAGCCTTCTTGCTTTGCACTTGTATCAGAATGAGAGCATTTCTCTGGCCCCCTTGTCTGACCATCTTATAAACTAAATGCCCACCTGGACATCCAGAACATGTTGTTTCTTTTTTTTAAGCTAATAAAAGGGAAGCTCATTTGGGAAGATGCCATACTAGCTATGGTGGTTGAGGACAAATCCTTGGTCCTGAAGTGACTTGCCACTGACATCCCTGCCAGGGCTGTTAAGTTATGTTTCCCTTAGAGTAATTTGCAAGTGCTGTATCTTCCCCTGCACAAAAGACAGATCTAAGAAAAATGTCTAACACAGCTGGGAAAAATTTTCATCCGTAGGAGACAGCAGGACATTTAGAAATGCACTTAAGTGTAATGTTTACACTCCTAAGTTGTTCCCCTAATGCATCTGCTTCAACACTCCACCCATCCTCCACCTAAGTGTCTGCCTGAGGGCTCAACCCGCTGGCTGGATGCTCTCAACCAAGGGCCTCAGTTCTTCACCCCTAAGGCAGAGAATGAAAACTAATCTCTCAAGTCCCCAGGAGGACTGTCAGGAATTGGCGGCTCATCCTCTCACTGCTCCTGCAACAGGGCTGTGAGGCGTGGAAATCAGCAACAGCAGATTTAAACATGGCGGAAGAGAGGCCCTTGGCTCCAACTGCAGACTGATTTGCACTCAGAGAGCCATGAGATTAGAGCAGGAGTCCCGGGCGAGCATGTGTGGCGAGGCCCATTACAAGCCTTCCTGCCTTCCTGGGTCTGAGGGTACCGATCTGCTGTGGGCCCAGGGCCTGGGAGAGCAGGAAGCGCCCTCGTGTGACCTGACTCCCCCCTCCTAAGGCGCAGCCTGGGGAAGGTGGGCAACTGGCGCCCTGCCAGCGGCTTACAGTTTAGGGTCCAGCAGCTCCTCTGCCGCCCCACGGCCGCCGCCCCGGCATTCCTTCCGTGGCGCAGCTGTGCTGTGGTCGCCACCCCGTTTCAGAACAGGCCCGTCCACCCAGAAAAGTCCGCCCCTGTCCCACCGCGGCCACCCCCACTTTAGCTCAGCAGCCATGAGCCTACCTTCTGCCGGACACGGCCTGGAGGTGGATTTAGACGTTGGTCCCTCCACCTCGCGCTCTGTTTTCAGCACGTTTTTGAGACTCGCCCAAGTCATGACCAGTACTTTTTTCTACTTTTCACTTTCCTATTTTGAATTTCGGACTGAGTAGTGGGCCACCGCGCAGAGCCACTGGGGCTTGGCGGTTTCAGTTTTCAGGCCCGGCCTGCTGGCGGCTCCGCGCCCACCAACTCGCCCGCATGTCCAACGGCGCCACCTCGCGGCAGTCGGCGGACTCGCAGCTCTGGTTTTCCAGGGGAGGGAAGAGATCACAGCGGATGACAAATGCTTCACAAAAAAGGCAGCATAAAGTTCTCTGCTTTTCTTTTTAAAAACAATTAAGGACAACGTCTCTATTTTTCGTTCTCCCAGAGGTAAACCTATTCGGCTGGTTTCTAGTATTTAAAATGCTTAGAATAAAGCAAGACCAGGCCTCCCGGGTGGCGCTGGGGGTCAGTCTCAGCCCTAGGAAGCTGGCCGCAGCCACTGCAGCCCGAGTCCATCCCGGCCAGGAGGGACCCCAGGGCGCGGCAGACCCCGCCTGTCTCCCCACTGCCCCCACAGCAGTGGGTGTCAGCCCACCTGTTCTGCTCCGCACTGTCTCTGAGGAACCCTCTCACCACCACCACCACCACCCCAGCTCTTGTGTGCGTAAACAAATCTTTTAAAAAAAGAATAAAGCAATTTTAAAACAATAGTTTAATTATGTTGGTTAAAGAACTCACCATATTTTAAAATTTAAAATATTTTTTCTGGCCAAGATATTTAAAGGACCATGGACTTACTCTCCAGTAAGCTGCCGCAGGGGCAGGGAACTGGTGATGAGTTTGCCAGAGCTGCCTGCTTGTGCTGCCAGGTGGCCCCTGGGTGCTGCTGCTCCTCCCGGGTTTGGCCTGTTCATGAATTTGGGGCCCTCACCCCACAGGCGAGGTATGTATGGAAACGGCCCTTTAGACCTCCACACAGCGGCTTGCCTCGCCAGTCCCCAGGCCCAGGCCATCCTGGGAGAAGCCCAGAGCGTCCCGCATGGGGGAAACGAGACCCCTAGGGGCAGCCTATGCTGAGTGTGGGTGGCCAGTGGCAACTTTGAAGCCCCAGGAGCTCGTCTCACTAGGGCCGGCAGGGATGGCACTGCGCTGAGGCCAGCCCTCAGGGGCGCACGTCAAGGCCTGGTGCACCTCCAGGAGGGCCCAAGGAGCCCAAACAAGGGGCCGGGATCTGGAGCCAAGTGGGTCAGGAGGGGCAGCACAGGAGACCGGAGCAGCCACCATGATCTGGGGTGGGAACTTAGGGGGCTGATTCCTGAGGGATAAAAGCCAAGCAGTATATAAAAATGAACAACGATGTAAAAGAAATCCAGTCAAGCTTTTTACTGCAAATCAGATGTCACCAAGTCGCAGAGACTCGTAAAGGAGCGCGCCTGACTCCATTCTGCAGGGCAGTGGTCACCGGAAGGGGCATTTGAACAGCGGACAGTCGGGACAGCAGACAGCACCTCTGCTGTGTCCTGTGCAGAGATTACCGGGGGTCAGACTCCAGCTGCCACAGCTTACAGCGCAGCAGCAAGTGTGGTCCCAGAGCGCCATCACATGCTCCCCCACAGACACGCAGAACAGGTGTGGTGTCTGACACGCAGCCGCCCGGACAATGAAGTCTCAGCATTTTCCAGGGACCATTATCCTAAGACTTCCATTTGCAAAGCAGTGTTCTGCAGATTTAAAAATTCCCGATTTCTGTGAAAATAAAGGGTTATCCCATTGCTGGTTCAAAATACACACTGGAGCTTTTATAAGCCTTGAAGTTTATTTTCTTTTTATTTTAAACAAAGGATTTTCTTTCAGTGGAAAATTCACTCAAATGGGAAAAAAAGAAAGCCCCATTTATGATTGTGTTGAAAGGGTTTGCAGCACACAAAGCACTGGTCCCAACGTGATGCAAAGTCAGGCCACCCATGCTTTCAAAACACAGTGGCATCCAGACCAGTCAGACACAACTGTGCGGGTTGGGCCCGAGAGCAGCTTGAAAGCCCAGATGAAGCGTAATGGGGTAGCGTAAGGCAGGAGACCCACAGAAATCTGATTAAATTAAAAGACCAAAAAAAAAAAAAAAAAAAAGCAGAGCTGCTGTTAATGAGGTAACAGCTTCAAGCTGTCAGAAATAACTGTTCTCCTTTAGACAAAATGTAGCTGTAGGTGTGCATATGTTCACACTCCAGCAGAAGAATGACCGCCAACACAATGCCTAGCAACCCCCACGTGGCCGATGGCTGCGACGGCAGAACACCCCCTTCCAACGTCAGCCCCGCGCCACAGGCTGGAGATACACACAGTCGAGGCAGTCAGCACATGCAGAAGTGAACTGAAATTACTTCATCTTTCAGAAACAAAATCAAGGATTCACAAACTATGGCATTTTATTTCAGAGCCTTTGCTTACATTTGTACAATATATTACATAATTCTTCACTGTTTGCAGATCCTAATATATACTTTATAGCTTTTATTCTATAAGCTTTTCTTCAACGTTTTGTTGTCAACAAATCTTTACAGTCCTGTACAAATTTTAATAACTTGAAACCATTTTCAACAAAATCAGTTACTGTAAGCACACACTACAAGACTGAAAATGTTTTTCTTAGAAAAGTCGAATGTAAAGGATTCTGACATGTCAGCATCTACAACAAAACGCTTGGAAATTCTCACATGTCATACTGCCAGAAAACAAACAGAACATGCTAGCCCCATCCAAAGAAAGTACACAGAGCTACAGTTAAAACAGTCACACAGTCTGTACAGCAGAGTACTGTGTGTCAACAGTGCCAGGCATCGGACAGCCGAGCGAACACACCGCGATACACAAATGTCTCACAGAGGAGCAGCGCTGGACACAAGGGCTGAACAAACAGAGGCTGGAGTCGCACAACGGAAAGTCAACACGAGTGAAAACAACTCTGTGCTCATCCGGGTTTTACACAAGGCATGGACTGGGCGGCCGCTCCGGCAGCGGGCTACTGGCAGCAGCCCTCGGAGTCAGCCCCGACCCACCGCGGCCTGCCTCGGGCGGCTCGCTCGCTGCCGTCAGCGTCCTGGCGTCCAGGCGCGGAATAACATAAGCGGTACAAAGGAATTATCTGGAGTTAAGGGAAAAGAAACATTTACAAGAAAACACAAAAATATAACTGTTATAATTCATTATGAATAAATATACACTTTGAGCTGGCTAAGTACAATATTTATACATTGTTTAAGATTTGATACAGTTTATTAGCCATTTTCTTTTTTCACACAATGTATTATATCAAAATTAAAAAAAAATACTGATTTATAGAAAAATGGCAAAGTACAGTAGTTCCTTTCCAATTTGAAGGGGCATGAAAAGCCACTGCAAGATCGGGCAGCCTAATTCAAACCTGTAAACATGTTCAGTCTTTTCTAAAGAGAATCTGTACTATTTGGTTACCAGGACCGGTGTCTAGTATCCTGTCAACTGCAGGTTTTGAATTTGTTGCATGTGCTTGACTTATACAATTAAAGCCACCCTAAGGTGACTTGCTTTAAAAAACAATTAGCTTGTACAAATGAAAATAGGTTCATATTTTTTCATAAATAAATGGAAAAATATCAAATGTTCCAGCTTTAACAAAATACAAGGGGTACATGTACAGTAAGTCACCTTGCCGTGTTCTGCCACCCAGCGCCGATGCTACTGTACTGTCTCCGGGCAGAGCGCGCCCCTGCCACAGTGGGAGGCCTTCAAGTTACCAGACACACAATTCCCAGACAAGTTGGAAACAATTATTGCTTGAGGAAAAGCAGTTCATTGTACTTTTTCTTCATTAAAAAAAAGTGCACTTAAGTGCCAAGTCAGCTTGTCAAGAAACAATTTTTAAATATAAAATAGTGCTTGTCTGATTTTTTTGTGCCACTGTGCAGTATAAAAAAGACGTAGCCACCAACAGCCGTAAGTGCAAAGTGCTCTGGCGGGTCCTGCTGTCACCTGCACTCGACGGACACTCCGCTCTGTGGTGCGCTGGACATCGAAGGCTCAGCTAACGTCAACATAACAGCAGCTGTTATGGAACTGGACGAGGGTGAAGAGGACGACGAGGAAGTAGCAGCACCTGAGGCAAGAGGGGAACCAGACCCACGCTTAGCATGCAGGCTCACACAGCAGGCCACGAAACAGTCCTCTAGGCCTCGTTCTGCTGTGCCCCAAAGCCATTTTGCTTACAACAGGAGCAGTCAACTTCCCAACAGCACGACGTAGGCACAGTGCGCCCCGACAGCTCTCGGGGAGCTAGAGCAGCAGCCACGGAAGGAACAAAAGGGCTATCGGTGGGTGATGCGCCTGCATGCATCAAGAGGAGGAACATCCTGCGACCCACAGCGCCTCAACAGAGCAAGAGCAGTTAGCCCTGTAACGCACCTGAAACCCCCATTTGCCAGTAATTCCTGTTGAGTTTCTTGGGAATTTATTTATTTTTAAAAGATTTATTTTTCATTGATCTATGCATATAAGAGGTCTGGGGGTTTTATTTGTACAGGCCTACCGCCTGTTGAGGGCAGATACCCTGAAATACACTGCTGAGGGGAGCAGCGGGGAGATGGGGGGGGAGGTGGGTGTCAGCTGTGCCCTGGGGTCACTCCCTGGCCGGGGATGAAGCTCCTGCCGCAGTGGCTTGCGACAGCTTGATAGATAGCGCGGAGTCTTGAACCCCTGTGTCACCAGGGAGGGCATGTAACTCCTTTGAAAAACAAAAGTGGAAGCATAGTATATGGTGTCTCTTGATTTCTAAATATCTACCTTAGGGAACTGCTCCATATCAACACACACATAGGCACTATCTCTTTTCCCTTTTAAAGTTGAACAGAAGTCCACTATATTTATAAATTGTAACTAATTTAATTTCTGAACGGTTGTTATTACCAACAACAAACTAATAGATAATTGATCATTTTAAGATTAACCGTTTCCTTATTTTTCATAAATGTAAAAAGGTCACTTGATAATACAATTCAATGACTTCTGGCTATTATTCTAAGTGTTACCATAACAAGCTTCCTTGTGTCTACATATTTTTCCTTGTGATCTATCCTCAGAAATAGAATAAGCTTGTTCTAATTCTAGCCAAATTGTTTCAAAGTCAATATATTCAGCAATCAATGCATAAAAATAGGAATTTCACTATTTTCTATCACTGGTTTCAACTATGAACATTTTGCTAATAAAAGTACCCAATGTGGGCCCTCCCTGGTGGCGCAGTGGGTTAAAGCACAGCACTGAGAATCTAAAGCCACTTCTGCATGAGTTTGATTCCCACCTGCCCCGGAGGTGACCACATGGCGCGGCAGACCTCTCCTGACCCGCCCGCTGCTCCCCTCAGCAGTGTACTTCGTCGATCTCCCTGTTCTGCTCCCCACTCTGTCTCTGGTGAAGCCTCTCACCATCCCTGAGCCTCTGGCCTGTACCCCAGTTCTGTATGCACAAATAAATAAATCTTAAAAAAAAAAAAAAAAAAAAAAAGTACCCAATGTGATTTGGAAACCAACACTTTTCCATTCATACTTTAATAGTATTTAGGAACTGACTTTTAATGCTAACTCCCCAGACAAAGCACTAATTTTCAACTCACCACAGAGAATTTGTGGTGACCACACTTACAAACCCTTTTAAAGGAACTATTTCAGGGCAGATGTCTTATGATATAGAAAACGTCCATAAAAAGACTTAAATGGCTTTTTTTGGTGGTGTAAAGGTTCAAGTCTCAGCACCATGAAGCTATGGCCAGCCACTGCAACGTGAGTTGGATCCCCAGCCATGGAGTGACCCACAGGGCGCAGCAGACCCCTCCTGTCTCCCTGCTGCTCCCCTCAGTAGTGTGCTTCATGGGGCTCCCCCTGTTCTGCTCCCCACACTCTGTCTCTGGGGAGTCCTCTCACCACCCCTTGCCCCTCTGGCCTATACCCCAGTTTTTGTATGCATAAATAAATCTTTAAAAAAAATGGTGAAAGTGATACACTAAAAAATAACTTGAGATTATTTTGTTCTTTAGCTGAATGTTTCCATTTTATAGATAATGAAAACAACTATAGGGATTGAAGAACTTGTGTGAAGCCACAAACTGCTATAAGCTTAGGTATAAGTAAGGTAAGACACTTACTTTCTCTCTCTTTCTTCTTTAAACGCTTTCTTCTTCTATCAATGGAAGCTACTTCAGATTTTAATGACAGATAGTGTTTTCTGATTTCTTGTAGCTTTTCTTGAAGAACTGTGATGCGTTCAGCACTTGTCATATTTTCCAGGTCCGCTGTGAATTTAAAAATTTCATTAACGTGTATTTCTGGACAAAAGCCGTGGTTGTAGAACAAGGTCAAGATAAAATTTGTATGCATCTGTTTAGTTTTCTAGCCTAGACCGTCTAGCACATAATATACACACAACACTTTTTAATGTGAATCAATGACCTCACTTACACACGTATGTAAAAACTTCTGCATTCATTTATATCACAAAGGTACATCAAACATTATACTTAGAGGCCCTCCCTGGTGGTGCAACCAGTTACAGTGCAGAACCAGAACACTGTCCACAGCCGCTACAACAACAGTTTGATCTCTGGCCAGAAGGGTGACCCACATGGCCCGGCAGACCTCTCCTGACCCGCCTGCTGCTCCCCTCAGAGTGTATTTCAGTTCATCTCCCTGTTCTGCTCCCTACTCTCTCTCTGGTGAGTCCTCTCACCCCTGCCACTTCTGGCCTGTACCCTATTTCTGTATGCATAAATAAATAAATCTTTAAAAGAAAAAAACGTAAAAATTAGACTGAAAAGACAACAAAATGTGAAAATTGTACATATTTTTGAATGTCATGATTGTGGACAAATTTTTCTCTTTTGCCCTCATTTTCTTTTTTTGTATGTGTAACTTTTATAACTTTTATGTGTAACTTTCATGAAGATGATATGCAAAACCTCTCGAGTAATTTCAATCTCTTAAAGAGTATTTCCCTGTGTGACTCTGGGATAATCTTTTCTTCAAAAAAGATTTATTATGAAGAGTTCTCAGACACAATGCAGGAAAGTGCAGTTCTACATACCCATAAATCAATTTCAGTAATTAGCAATTTATGGCAAAGGTTGTCACATTTATAGACCCTATCTATAACGTCAGATTATTATATTTATTTTAAAAGATTTATTTATTTATGCATACAGAACTGGGGTAAAGGCGCCGTGAGAGGCTTCACCAGAGAAAGAGCGGGGAGCGGAACAGGCCGAATGATGACTACACTGCTGTGGGGAGCAGCGAGCAAGACTGAGGAGGTCTGCCGTGCCCTGTGGGTCACCTCTGGGCGGGGATCGAACTTGCTCTGAAGCAGCTGCAACTAGCTTGCAGTGCTGCGTCCTAACCCGCTGCGCCACCAGGGAGGGCCAATGTCAGATTATCTTAGGCACATTTTTGATAGCTCATCCAGAATAATCTAGTACTTGTTGGCCTTTGCCTCACGTGCCTTTTACTTTTTCTTTCAGTAATGTTTATCCAAATAAAGATCACGGGTTATTCTGCTAGTTTCCTCCTACCTTCAGGAGAGTCTGAGACTACCCAAAGGGTACTGACACCATGAATAACACAGAAACTTCTGTAGACTTTTTCCACGTACATACATTCCTACTATAAATTTTAATTTGCCAATTAGGCAGCCAGTTACAGAAACAAAACACGACCAGCAGAACTGTTTCATCTACCAAAAGTCACATGACTGCGTCGTTGCTCTCTGAGTGAAACCTTCTCAGACTGTGGCTGCCCATAAGTAACTGAAGCTGTGCAAAGGGAAACTCCAGTACGAGGGAACCACTGACATCTCTTTGATTTGGCTACAGCCTCTTTTCGGTCAGGGAAAGGGAGCAAACCTGGGGTAACTGGGGTTGACCCAACTGGCGGGTCCTCACCTCATGTGGATGACTCAAAAGCAGACACAAGACAGAAACAGCAACAGGGTTTGTCTGCACAAAAACCAGTGAGAGAATGTGCAGGCTGGCATGTGGCCAGATGCACCTCTCACCCAAGGGTCCGGGCTGAACCTGCGTGGGCCAGCTGGGTGAGACCTACAGACCCACACAGCTGTGCTTCAGGCTCAGCAGTCTAAGCAGGAGCCCCAGCAGCGTCAATGCGCCCAAGGCTTTGTCCGCGCTCTGTCCGGACGGCCAACTCCAGGCAGGCTGCGGGCACACCAGCTCAGAGGACGCGTCTGCTGTTCCCTGACACTGCCATCCTCAAAAGCTGCAGTTTCTAGGCTTAACGGCTGACTCAATCTGCCACTCACACATCTGAAAGCTCCACTTGTAAACTTTGGGCAACCGGCCACCAGGCTCCTTGAGGTCCAGGTCGCGGTCGCCATTCTTCCCGCACTTTCCTGGTGACTGTGTCCTTGCTGGGGACTTGGCGTTATGAGATTTCACAGCAGTGGAAACGGACTTGACTGGCTGAGTCTTAGTCACACTTTCACCAGCAGAAAGTTCTTCACTATCACTACTGTTTGCTGAAACAAAAAGAAAAGCCCAAGTAAACAGACAAGTAACAAAGAATTTGTCAAGGACTTTAGCAGACAATTTAAAAATAACCATCTGGAAATACTATTACAGTAAACAACTTTTTTATAGGCCATGACTAGAAACTTGGAAAATCATCACAGACAAATAGAGCAGATCTCAGTTAAGGAAAACAAAAACAAAAAGTGTTCTTACCTGAATTACCAATAATATTAAAAAACTAAACAAAACACTCAAACTACTTGGTAAACTGTTAAACAGTAATTATATGAAAGGCTTTCTTCTCTATTATGTTTATATATAAAATATCTCAACTAGAGTGCAGCAAAAAAATGACTTACAGAACTTCTTAATTTTAGTAGTTTAGACTGTATACAAATTGTATATGTAACGTTTTTCTACTCCTTAGGACAGAGTGGTGCATAATTATCTTATAATAAAAATAATAAATTATAAAAAACTTTGGAAATAAATTCTAAGTTTTGATACAAAGAGTAAGTAAGTCCTACATGGTAGCATGCTGACTAAAATAAACCCATTTTATCCTGGTAAACATCTTCACTAGTTTATAACTACTCAGCAGTCCAGGTACTGATGGTGTTACACCTGCCTCTGCAGATGAAACCCCAGGATGGAAATGCTTAATTCACCCCGGGTCCACCCTGCGACTGGGTGATGGCACTGCTATTTCTGTCCTAAACTACCTCTCCTAGATACAAAGTGTTCTTTTAAATTACATGAGAGTTAATCCACTTTACTAAATAATCCTCAGACAATGGTTTCCTCATTCTGATTCGCCAAGACAGAAGTCCAAAAATTAAAATGGGAGAATAAAATAGATCACTTCTCTAAATTATGTGAATATTAATTGAAGGTTAGTATTACTGAAGATGTGCTCTCTTAGGAAATGTCATTTAAACTGTAAAATTTTGAAGCCAAAAATAATGTTTTAAAAAAAACAAAAAACATTTAAATATCCTATCAGTCTATGTAACTGATGGTCAATCTGGCACCGTTTACTGATTCTTCATGGAATAGCAAAAAAAAGTATAGTTCATCTCTCAAAGCCTGGAAATTACTGCAGGCCGAAACAGCAGACAAGCTTCTCCCACTGTGGCGTTTTGGAAATAAAAAAGCTCCAGCACTCTTCAGCACATACCTTACGTTGACCCCTCCCAGCCCCCACTGCTGCTCTGGAACCCCGGAAAGGCCCAGCTAAGCCACTGAGGCTCGGCCCCACTCTGGCCAGTGGTCTGCCTCGGCCTGGCTTCACGGCCTTGCTGAGCACAGTCACCCGGGGCCCCGAGGGACGCCATATTCACCGCCTGGAAGTCATAAGGGCTCCGCAGACCCGCGGGGGGCTGGCCGCATAGCCCTTTCTGCACTGAAGTGCAGCCAAGCCGGCTGATAGCAAAGGTCAGGCAGTGGAGGTGGCAGGAGTCTCCTGGAAGAGCAGCAGGAGGTCAGTGTGGGACACCTGAAAAAAAATTCTTTACATATTTTCTGCTTCTCACTTTGTCTACAAACGAGAGATAAAAACGTGCAGCTCTCAGCAGAGAAACAATGCATGTACTCCTGTGGGCCAAGGAGCTGGCACTGGCCAAGTCAGGTCTCCAGCTGGAGCACACTAACACCAAAATATGGGTTGCAGCTGCTCTTTGGGCCCAGAGTCTGGGGTATTGAAGATAAAGGGTGGACACAATACAGACAAAGACAGGAGTTACTGGGCATCAGAACTAGAAAGCTATCTTGACTCTCCTAGGTTTATTTGGTCCTTCAGTATTACAATCAATTTCACGGCAATAAAAATAATCTATAATTGAGGCATTTCATAATATCTGATGCATGTAATGGCAAGTGGAAAGGACTCAGAACAAAATGCTAACACGGACATTGATGCTCCTATTATGATGTGACTGTTACTCAGGAAGGATTACCTGATCGTTCATCAGCAATCTGTAACACTGCTCGGTAATGCCAAATTGCTTAGTCCTAGAATTTACCTAGGATCAGAGGACTCTGCTTGACCTTTTTGAGGGTGGAAACAAAATCAAAATACTGAACTACCCCATATCCTTTTCTTAATGGGAAAAAAATGTGTCCGCCACTACTTTACTGAAAATATGAGAGGTTTTGGGCCCTGCTTGGTGGTGCAACAGGTTAAAGCGCAGCACTACAAAACTAGCTGCAGCTGCTTCAGTGTGAGTTCGATCCCCGCCCTGGAGGTGACCCACATGGCTCAGCAACCCTCTCCTGTCTCCCTGCTGCTTCCCTCAGCAGTAGATGTCATCAGTTGGCCTGTCCTGCTCCCCATTCTTTGTCTCTGGTGAATCATCTCACAACCCCACCCCCAACATCTCTGGCCTATACCCCAGTTCTGTGTGCATAAATAAATAAATCTTTAAAAAAGAAAATTAAACATGACAGGTTTCACACTTACTGCCTTTTCCCTTTTTTTTGTTGTTTACCACTGTTGCTTTATGGCTTCGCTTCTGCTTTTTTGATGAACTTCCTGCTCCCTGAACTTCTTTTGCTCTTTTCTGACCTGTAAGGCAAATAAAATCAAAATTTCCCTAAGTTTAAGTTACTCCCACAATTTAGAAGCATAGGTAACTCTGTAACTACATGACCCCAAAATTTATACATTTATAAATTATCACAAATTTACTAGTTTGAAAAAAATAGTCATTAACTACTGTGTATTAATAAAAAGCTAGAGTTTTTAAAAAAGTAATTTAAGAGTGCACATCCTTCTCTGAAAAGTCAGATGTAAATTGAAAGTAGTTCTCAATATAGTGCTGGGAGTTTATGAGCCTAACAGTTCAACACAGATATCTGATAAAAATAAAATTTAAAATTTTAAAAAATTCAATTAAAACTAAAATATTAAAACCACAGTTTAAAATATTATCACTGCCTTATAAAGATGTTAATATAATTTTTAAATATTATATCATCCATAGAATAAATTTTAGTAATTCAGTTATTTCAGCAATTTGTTTCAACGATTAAAACTTAGTTTCTGGCCCTCCCTGGTGGCACAGCGGGTTAAAGCACTGCACTGAGAAGCTAAAGCCACTTCAGCAAGAGTTCGATTCCCGCCTGCCCCGGAGGTGACCACATGGCGCGGCAGACCTCTCCTGACCCGCCTGCTGCTCCCCTCAGCAGTGTACTTCATCCATCTGCCTGTTCTGCTTCCTGCTCTGTCTCTGGTGAAACCTCTCACTGCCCCTGAGCCTCTGGCCTGTACCCCAGTTCTGTATGCACAAATAAATAAAATCTTTAAAAAAAAAAAAAACTTAGTTTCCAGGGCACTGGTTAACATATGCACTTAACAAATCCAGCACAGCAGTTCCTTTTACAAACTCACACAAGTGAGCAGGACATGGCTGTCTGAGGAAAGCAGGGGACACTGGACAGCAAATGCTCAGAGAACTTGGTCAAGGGCGGGGGTCTGCAGCAGATCAGCGTGCTTGTGGGAAACTACATGGTACAGATGCAAAAACAATGTCACAAAAATAAATGCCACCAAGTCCCTCCACAGAGGCCATTAGTGTGTGCTGGATTAACAGCCAAGGCTGGAAGTGGGCGCAGGACATGTATTGGACATGTCCTGCGCCAATGTGGGATGTCATGGATAGTACACGAACAGGACACTGAATCCATCTCCCCATTTACTATCTGAGGACCTCCCTGTTTCCCTTCTCACCACTTCACACGAGTACGTTGCATGTCACGTGGTGAGCAGAGCGTCTGTGAAGCCCCGAGAGCACAAGGGGCCTAGTAAGGTGGTGCCTACCTTTCCCAGGCTGCTCGGGCTCTGGCTGGTTACCACTGCCGGGGCTCACGCTCGCCTCGAAGCCTGCCGGTGAGCTGTTCCCGTCAGACGGGAGGTCTTGGAGCTCCCCGGCAACGCTGTCCACCTCGATGGTGCTATCGGTTTCGCTCTTGATGCTCCGAACCTCTTCTTGGTTGGCAGCCAGGGGTTCCGACGTCGCTGCAGAAGACTGCGGCCGAGGGGCTTCGGTTACAGTGACCGAGGAAGGCGATTCGGGGGTCGTGGGCGGGGTGTTCAGCACCGAGTTGCTGCCGCTACTCGGGAAGTCCGCTTTCTTGTCACCGGCCTCCGCTGGCTTTTCGTCAGTGGCTTTGCTCTCGGGCCCGACTGTAGGCATGGGCTCTAGCTCCGGGCCGGGTGAGCCACTCTCCTCCTCGGCCACGGTCTGCAGCGACCCCTCCACTGGGCCTTCTTCTGGGGCAGGATGAGGTGGAGAAGCGGCAGCCTCAGTGTCAGAGTCTGAAAAAAGCTCCTTCAGTGTTTTCTTGGGCCACTGACCCTGAATACTCGACCAGACGTCTTTGCGATCTTTAGCTCTGCTATTCTGAAGTCTTTCATCAGAGTTACTTAAGAGTTTTATCCTTTTCTCTGCAACTTCTGAAAATCCTGAATAGAAGCCAGTTGTCCGGAGAGATTTTCTCTTTTCGTCCAAACCATTGTATTTCTTAGTTGGTGTAACCTTTGCCTTTGCTTTTTCTTCTTCGTCTTCATCTGAAGAGCTGTTGCTGCTGTTTTCTACGCAAAGTGACTCTTTGTTTTTGGCCTTCTCTTCTTTTTTGCCAGGCGATCCAGCCTTCAGGCACTCCTCAGTACTGCAATACCTTCTTTTCCCGCGCTTCACCGGTGGTTTTGAAGGTTTATCTGCAATGTCCTTTCTGCTGTCCTTTCTCTTTTTTGTGACTTCATCTTCTTCTTCATAATCAGTATCTTCAGATAATCCTTCTATGTCTTTTCTTAATCTTTCAGGAGATTTGGACACTGCTTTAGATATTACCAAGTCTGCATGGACTCTGTTTTCTTCTAGCAAAGATGAACTGTTCTGTTCCTCTTTTGCAATAAGATCATTTCTGGGGTGGGTCAAATGATCAATTTTAATGTCCTCTTTGCCATTATTATCTATGTCCTGAGCACCTGTCTCCTCCTCTGGTTCACTGTCTTCAGCAGAACTCTCAGAAGCTAGAAAATGAAAGAAACAACTGTCAGCACCACAGAACACTAGCAAGGTCTTCTCTGTGTCTCACTTTACACATTAGTCCTGAGGTCTGTAGGAGTCCAAGCTGCCGGGCCCGCAATTCTGCAGATGAGGAAACCAAGCTCTGACCCAGAGCTGAAGATGCGCCACAGCATGGTTCTGGTGGTGAGGCCAGTCTGCTTCTGCCAAACTCACCAACTTGTGGACATAAAAGTTGTGAATTTTATTGTCTACTAACTATACTTCAATAAAGATAATTTAAAAATTTCCACAAACCTAGGAACAGAATACAGTGGAGAGAGGCTGTAGCCCCAGGCAGCTCTACCAGCCTTACTTAGTAGTCGTGTAAAACCAGAGCCTCACTCCACTGTGGAAATGAGTAATCCATGATTTTGTGAATAGTGGATTTCTACAACGGCTGAAGGAACTCACAGGATTAACTGAAATAACTGAAATCTTATTTTAAAATATTTACAGAATTTTTTTAAGCATTCACGTTAGTACAGATAATCTATACAACTAAATGCAACAATCAACGGCTTCCTCATGAGCCCAGTGCGCGCCTGGCCTTTTCATGCATGTTGCCTGCTCACCTCAATCTGCCACAGAAGTTCTGAGGCCGGTGAGGCCTGACCTGCAATGCGGGAGCCTGGGATGAGCTCAACTCCTCTAAAGGACTGTTAAGAGTCACATGTGCTTATAGAACTCAGAATCTTAACAAAGATTCACTGAGAAGTTCACATATGCTCTTTAGCCACGTGTGCTAAGAGTGAAAAATAAGTGACATTATTAAGAAGGCCTACTGTGGCATGGGGTTAACGTCTTGCAGCTATCAACCTACAGCAGCCAGTGGCCCAGGGCACAGCAGACCCCCCTGTCCCCGCAGGGAACTCAGGGGAGCCGCTGTCCTGCTCCCCACTGTGACTGGTGAGCCCTCTCACCCCTGCCCTGCTCGTTAAATCCCAGTTCTTGTGTGCATAAATGAATAAATAAAAATAAATCTTGAAAATCTGGACTTCTTCCATGTGCTCCAGAGCAGGTGACTGCAACATGACCAGAGCAACACATGGGCTAAGGGCGCCAAGTCAGGGGCCCAGGCACTGCCTGTGCCACCGCCGCCACCATTGGTGACTTGGTCTTCGTGTGTTTGCGGAGTCTGGCCTGCTCGCTGCTGACCTCCCTTTTCCTCAGTTCTGAGACAGTTATCTCTAGCTAACTTAATGTAGCACATGCATGTACAGTGCAGTTTGCAACATACAGAAGTGAAGTTTACTGAAGAAATTAGGTCACTCGATAAATGTCTGTTCTTGGACAGGCTTTTTATTTTTCCAAAAATTTCCAAAAGTCCTTTTTTTCCTATTTATGTCTCATTTTAATGTCTTTCACATTCACATTAAGTAATAGAGTAATTAATACAGTTTTAATAAATTTACATTTTAACTGCTCTGTTAAGTGAAGCATTCTATCCAGGTCCTTCATTTGTTGAATCTATACTGGTGACCTCACTTAAAGTTTTTTAATTCTAGTAAAAAGAATCAGCAAAATTCTGCATTAAAAGACAGAACTTGATTATCTTTATAGAACATAACTTATAAAAATTAAAAACAAACACTTGCACGTAACAAGAATTTCTCATTTACCTTGAAGTCCATTAAGGATAGAAGTAATTTCTATGGATTTAATGTGAGCTGTATCAGAGTTTTTGGCATCAGTAAGATCCAGTTTGGAGACCATCTCAGGAGATGAATTTGTCTGAAATGGTGGTTTTGATAAGCGCCGAAGTTTACAATTTTTAGGAGAGTATTTTTCATCTTTGTCTTTTTCTTTGTCCAATTTATTCTAGGACAAGAAAAAAAAAGTATGTCAGGTATAATTTATCATGAGGCATTTGTTAGTAACAATGTTAACTCACTTTAAACTCAAAGTTACAGAAAACATTATTCTGACATAATAAAGTTTCCCACTGATGTGAAAGTTACTGTAGAATGAGCAACAAATTTTAGTCTGATATTAACATTTTAGTTTAAACATACATTAACAATCAGATGGGCATTAAAGGCTAACAAAACTCCATTTCTGCCAATAATTGGTTACAAATTCTTCAAAATTAAATCATAATAGGCTTAAAGTTAAAGTCATTAAAGAAAAAAAAGAAAGAAACGTATTTTTGGTAGTCCAAAAAATCTGTCAACATTCTCAATGTAAAACATGGGCTGGGAATGACAATATTCTAAGTAGCTTCGTTCAGCTCACACCTGAGAGTAACTAAGTAAATGTTCTGTTTTACAAGGTCAAGGCAGGAACAACCTTCCTAAGCTCAGAGATCAATCGTTTAAGGAAAAAAATTTTGTTTTCCAAAATTCTCTATTTACATACCTAGAAGCAAAGATGGGTCAAACACTACACGACATACACTTCAGCGACATCTTTAAAGACAGAGCACCCAACGCCACAATAGTGAAGGCAAAGATAAATAGATGGGACTACATCAAGTTAAAGAGCTTCTGTACAGCAAAAGAGACATTACTAAAAACAAACAGAAGGATCACTAATTGGGAAAACATTTTCTCACACAAAAGTAGCGATAAAGGATTGATCACAAAAATATACGGAGAACTGATGAAACTCAACAAAAATAAACAACCCCATCAAAAAATGGGCAGTAGAGCTAAAAACACACTTCTCCAAAGAGAAAATGCAGATGGCCAACAGGCATATGAAAAAATGTTCAACATCACTCGTAATAAGGGAGATGCAAACTAAAACCACAATGAGATACCACCTCACCCCAGTGAGAATGGCACATCTTCAAACAACTAGCAACAACAAATGTTGGCGAGGATGTGGAGAAAAAGGAACTCTCCTGCATTGCTGGTGGGAATGCAAACTAGTACAACCACTATGGAAAACTGTTTGGAGGTTCCTCAAACTGCTAAACATGGAGCTTCCCTACGACCCAGCAATCCCACTCCTAGGTATCCACCTAAAAGACACAAAAACACTGATTGAAAAAGAGAATTGTACCCCCATGTTTATTGCTGCTTTATTTACAATTGGAAAAACATGGAAGCAGCCCAAATGCCCAAAAGTAGATGACTGGATTAGAAAGATGTGGTACATATATACAATGGAATATTACTCAGCAACCAAAAAAGAGAAACACATGTCTTTTGCAGCAACTTGGATGGAGCTGGAAAAGATCATGCTTAGTGAGATAAGCCAGAAAGAGAAAGAAAAATACCGGATGGTATCACTCGTAGCAGGAGTATAATGGACCAGGCGAGAAAATAACAAAAATAATGAACAACCATATACCAGAGACATTTTGTGGGGGTGGAGTGGGGAATGGGATCAAAAATGGGGGGGGGGGGGAAGGGAGGGAAATGCAAGGGGCTATGGTGGTGGCACAGGGGTGATTTGGTGATGGGAAACCTGCGGGGATTACAATCGAGATGGAAAAAAAAAATGTGCAAAATGATGTAAAAATAAACTTTGTAATAAAAAAAATTCTCTATTTACAAATGAGACTTAAATGCATTTACTGGAAATTAGTTATGTATTTTGTTTTAAAATAATTTCTCAAAATGCTGCTCCTGAAGCTGTTGTGACACAAAAGTGGTTATTTCTGTAATTCTCCAAAAGGTGGTAGCAAGTGTCATTAAGGTACGTGGAGAGGGCCCTCCCTTGGTGGCACAGAGGGTTAAAGCACAGCACTAAGAAACTTAAGCCACTTCCCCATGAGTTCAATTCCCGCCTGCCCTGGAGGAGATCCACATGGAGAGGCAGATCTCTCCTGACCCGCCCGCTGCTCCCCTTAGCAGTGTACTTCATCGATCTGCCTGTTCTGCTCCCTGCTCTGTCTCTGGTGAATCCTCTCACTCTTTGCATCTCTGGCCTGTATCCCAGTTCTATATGAATAAATAAATAAAACTTACAGAAAAAAAAAAAAGATATGTGGAAGAAAAGTTAATTTGTTACTTAATAACTGCTTTCAGGTTGTGGTTCTCCAAGTGTTCTCTATGGCCAGGACCAGCATTAGCATCTCGAGGCATCTGTCAGAAATGCCAACTCTTAGGGCAAGGGTCAGATCTAGCTGCACTTACTGAGAAAGGCTGAGGATGGGTTCAAGCAACACACATTTCAACAAGTCTCAAAACGCACGCTCCGCTGACTGAGGGCAACTGGGCCTAATTTTTGGAATGTATAAGAAGGCTATGTGTAGGTAGAATATACAGCCTGTCAACGATCACTACTGTTGAGATTTTTCTACTGTGATCAGCCTTTTCATTAGGTTGTCTCTTCAAAGAGGCCATACATACATGCCCTACATTCTGAGGAGAGGAACGGTCTACTCCCCAGCTCTACCCCCCACACAGTTCAAAGCGGCTTCGAAGAGGCTGCTGTCGAACAGGCATGGGAAGGGCAGTTTTCAAATGAGATGACGCATGGCAAGGGGAGAATACAGGCTCAAAGTGTTATCTAGAATGCCTTTCCAGTTTACATGCTTCTTCCCATATGACCAGGAAACTTACTAGTACTCAGAAGGGCCAAGAACTTGGTCTAAAACAGAGTAATTACTTAGAAGAAAAAGTTTTCCAAGAAGCCTTCTGATACTGCTTTCCCCACATTAAGCCCTATCCTCTACCTGAGAAACACTACTATAAAGTTTAATTTAAGGAAAACTGTCTTCGTTGGACACTTAGGTACCATACTGCAGGTAACCAAAATCACAGTGAATGAAGTAAGACGTCTGTCCTTTCCAGTGCCAAGCGTGAAAGTGAAAAGGCCTGGCGAAGTCCTGGGCTGGAGCCACCAAGCTACTACCCGAGCACTGGAAGCATGAATCCACCTTTGCAGTAAGGAGAGAATAACCACTTGGGGAAGTTTCCCTGGTCGGGGCCGCTAGGGCATCACCTACAGAAAAGCAAATTGCTCCTCTTCTGGAACTGCTCCTTTCAGAAGTGCTGAGCACCTCGTGTGTACACTAGTCAAAGCACGTTAGGAGTTTTAAGAAAGATCGTGAAAACTAAAACCTAGCTACGTCTACTTTCTAGTAAGCCATGAAAAGATTCAGTCTTGGAATGAGCAAGTGCAATTTCATAGCACAGGAAGGTAACCACTTTTACAGTGCTCATTCCCAGAGCCCCCCACGTACACAATGTGACACTGCAGGCCACTTTATTGCTGCAGTGCGGCCTGGCTGTCCTCTGCCCACAGACACCGCCTTCCCCACTCTGTCAGAGCCAGTGAGCACCCGTGGGCTAGCTTCTGCCCCCACTTCCTGCACCCAGTAAGAAACCAGAGTGATTCGAGGGTTGGAGTGGGTAAGTAATGTCAAGCCAGGTGGCACTATACAATGGTGGAGCTGAAAAGGTCTCACAGCCTGACAATACTAAATGTACCCAAATCTAGCATTTGATAAATCTGCTATTTCCAGAGTCCATTAACTCCCAAGCACTCTTAATCCATCAATCTGGAGCACAGAGCTATGTTACAGTGTTTAGCAAAAAAAGTACTTACCTTTATTTTCTTTCGATGTTTTATTTTTGGCACATTCTTATCAGCAGGTCTTACTATTTTATCTGCTTTAATCCATTCATCATATCTAAAATGAAAGGAAATTAGGAAATTAATATAAATATACAAAAAACATGACACAGAAGTCACCATACCACTTTAAGAAAGAACTTACATACAGAATCACAACCTTTTACAACTGGAAGAAAAACACGAGGATCATTTAGTTGTCCTTCCGGTCAGGAATAATGCAAGCACTGTCCAAAAAAACGTGACGCAGAGTACCGAAGGACACACCAGCCTCTGCAGGCCGAGATGAGACCAGAAAGCACCATCCTTGAACTCCCAGACAATGCTCCCTACTTTGCTGTATCAAAGAGAATCCAAAGAGTGTAAAAACCTCTGGAGAAACCACACTGTGTGCTATACTTTGTTTTGTTCGTAATCATCAAATAGGTAATTTTTCCTCTGGACACAACAAGAAATTAGGTTACATACTCTAGCTTTAAATGTTACTGTGTAATAATTTTAAAAAGCTTAATATTATAACTGGGTAATGGAAAATCATCTAGGAAAAAGAACACCTTCACATACACTGTCAGGAAATCATGATTACGCCTGGGCTTTCGCTATTCTGCACAGACAGCCGCGACCCCAGCTGCTTCGCAGCTCACCTGATACCACAGTCTGCCTGGTTTCATGCGTGCAGGTTGCCACTGGCTGCAGTACGACGGCTCAAAACAAGAAAGAGTGAAGGTCTATTTTTGTAAAAATGTAGATGAAACACTAAAAGTAAAGTAACCTGTTTTTATGTTTCTAAGTGATACCCATTTATTGTGGGACATGAAAAACTCACTGACATTTGTAAGTCTGGAATATGAACAAGTGAAAATGAATCTTTAAATTAAATGGCCTCATTATTAGAGGTGCTGAATGAAGTAATAAAAACCTTGAGCTTTAGAAAGCACATGGCCTAAGCCGTTAACGGACTTACTACGTTCTTGCGCTAGGACAGGCCTGGACAAGCCCTCTGATTACCCCCAGGCAGCCAGGCTGCTGGTGCCAGCTGGACAGTCAACTGAGGGTGCACCCCACCCAAGGGGTGACACTGATGTCTTCTGGAAAGTGTTAAGAGCCACATGGTAATCTGAGAGCACGAGGGAGGGAGGAAGGAATGGGCTATGCATCCCTCCTGTCAGTGACCCTGCTGAGCCATTTGTGGCACCAGGCTTCATTTATTCTGCATAACATCAGACTACTTTAACAAAGGAAACAGAAGACTGCTTGACACATGTGGGTTTTTTTGAGCATAAGTAATGTGAAAAGCCTAAAAGCAAATATTAGTCTATTAAATGCACTCCTTCTGGCATTTATCATACTGGCAATGCAGCACCTACTTAAAACATTCACAGTACTGTTTTTATTCCACATTAATACTGAAATACTTTCCATAGACCCACCACTATGTACTCAGTTTGATAAAATCAGATTTTTTTTTAACTACCAACCAATGAGAGTACTACTCAATTCAACTTCTGTTTCTGACATGAATTATATTTCTAAATGGAGTAAAACACTAGATTTCAATTTAGGACTACCACCAATAGACCATACGTTTGCACAGATACACTGAACACTGAACAATTTAATACAAATTAAAAAGAAAGCTACTGTCTTCAGTTACAATGCTCATGATGTTAGAAGATTTCTTATGGCAGAGTAGTAACTAATAACTGAATTCCCTTAAGACAAATGTATACAGAACACACATGCAAATAAAATAATGAGTCATCAGTTGATTCCCACTGCCTGAGGCTCTGCATTCATACAGACACCTTCTTGCTCACCCTATTATAAGATAAGGGTGTAAGCGAGGACTGGTATCAGAACAGTGAGCCTGGATTTCAAAAGTTATCAGGCAAGACACAAAAAAGAAAACTTCTGGAATTAGATGAAACAAGCTTTAGGTTATTCCAAAAAAAAAAAATTTTAATGTGTGTATGTATAGAATAACTGGAGTCTAAGTTCTAAGTTATTTTAACAGGCCCTTCCTGGAGGCACAGGGGTTAAAGACAGGGCTATCAAGTTGTCACAGCCCAGGGCTGTTCCATCCCAGCAGCCTGTCCCCCCCAATCCCCTCTCCCCCCCCCCCCCCACAGTGTGTCTGAGTAAATGAGCCTGTTCTGCTCCGCACTCTGTCTCTGGGGAGTCCTCTGGTCACACCCCAGTTCTTGTATGCGTAAAATAAATCTTTAAAAATAAATAAAGTAACAGCAGTAAACATGTGGGTCTTGCTATTCTGGGTAACAATTTTTTTTTTAAAAAGATTTATTTATTTATACAGAACTGGGGTACAGGCCAGAGATGCGGAGGGTGAGAGGATTCACCAGAGACAGTGGGGAGCAGAACAGGCAGATCGATGCAGTACACTGCTGAGGGGAGCAGCGGGTGGGTCAGGAGAGGTCTGCCTCCCCATGTGGATCTCCTGCGGGGCAGGTGGAGTTCGAACTCAAGCGGAAGCGGCTTTTAGTGCTGTGCTTTAACCCGCTGCGCCACCAGGGAGGGCCACAATTTTGTTTTAACTAGAGAATATTATGTATGGTTTAGAGCATATGGGTCTACAAATGTGAGCTAATATTATGGCTGTTTCTATTTATTACTGCCTCTTTTTATTCCACTTTCTCGGAAATTTTTGTTTGTTGGCTTGACAGTTCCTTGTTCTAACACTATTCTTTTAGATTTTTTCTATGCCAGATTTATGTGCTCTTTTTATAAAATATAACCACACAATACTGTTATTATTACTAATAGCCTTAAGAGATAAAACATGCCTTAGAATAAGCTTATTCACAGATAAGAAACTCAAACTATGGAAGTGAACTGACTGAATTAGGGAAAAATGTTATGCCAAGTTGTTGACATATAAACACAATGACCTTTAGCTGAAGAAAAAGCCAAGAGCGTTTTATGAGAGTATTTGTGGAAAACCAGATAACTTAGAATACTGATAAAAACAAAACTGTCTTTAACTGGATTTTACTCTAGAAATTATGTTAGGAAGATAACTGATTTGAGACAAAAGGAAAATCTGCCAGGGTTGTGAAAGGAAAAAATAATTACTAAATTCTCCCACTTAAAAATAAGGAAAAACAAATATTAAAGATAAATTCTGAGAAAGTTAAGACTGAGCCTTAGTAAGCCATACTTTTTGGATTCAATTACCAATAAATCCATTGTTTTAATGCATGGAATCGAGCTCAGAATCTTACCTATTTAAAGCATTAAGAAAAATATTTTTGAGGTATACAGAAAACTTATCTGAGAATATTTCTATTGTGGTCATCTAATATTCAATTAATGGAACAAAAATTAAACAGCAGAGATAGGCACAACCAGTTCACCTTCTAAGTCTGCTCCCTAAACCTATATAAAATGGAGGTGAACCAGGTGATCCCCCAAATGAAAACTATACAGCACATCAGGACTGAAAGCATACGTCAGGGTGTAGTCATTCGACGGGTGCCTGCTTCCGAAGTGCCTGTTACGTGACAGGCGCTGCCCTGAGCACCCAGCAGTGAATGCAGCACACCTCCTTCCCACAGGAGCTTATAATTTAACAGCAAAGACAACATTAAGTGGTAAATACAAAAATAACAATACAAACCTTCTGAAATTAGGAATCACACATAGTTTTCCATTTTTAAAATGTGCTACATTTAAATGTTTAGATCAAGTTAGAACAGGGACCATTCAGAGACCATAGCATACTTGCTCTCACCAGAGAAAATCTGAGTTTTTTTCACCACAGAAAACCTGAACGGGGCTTATGACTGGTTTTGGATGTGTTGGCAATCATCTAAGAAATCATTTAGCAATAATAAAAATGGAAAATAATGTTCATCAACCAGATATAAAATGCCAAAAAAGCTACTGTGCTCACATCAACTCAAATCGTGATTTTTCGTAAACCCATCGAAAGAGACGTGATCAGCATGTATCATTCTATACCAAGTAAATACTAGATTTAAAAAATTCATGCAGAGTAAGGAACCTTAAAAATCTCCTAAGAAAAATTAAACTCATATTTCTATACACAAAATCCTATGTATGTCTGTAACGAACAAGCTTCATTATTCTCAACGGTTTGGAAGACCGCATGTTTTAGGGCTGTCGGTTAGCAGTGCTGCAGGTCTGCGACCGCACCAGCCCCACCATCCAGCTGAACAACAGTCCGGCAGCGAGGCGTGGGGCCCCCCACCATGCCCACCCTCACCTCCGCCTCTGCACCTGCAATCAGATTCAAGGGTTTGTTTGGGCTTTGACCTAGCTGCTCCCTGTTTTCGTTCTTTACAGTCCTTGTTTGCTGAAGTCATACATTATTTCTGTCTTTCTCCTCTGATTACTTTGATTTATCTTAAGTCCCTACAGTTCATTCCCAGCGTCACAAAAGGCAAGATTTCATCTTTTTTTTTTAATAGCTAAAACTACATTTTTGAAAATTGCACATCGTAAGTGGCCATTTCAGCTATCATATTAAGAAAAGGAATTTTTTTACATTAACTGAACAAGAAAAAATTGTACGATAAGGAAAAATAGTATGATGTTGCAATGGGAAAATAAATCAAGTCATGATAAAAAAAAGCCATTACTTATTAATTTAAAAACTTTATAAAATATTTTATCACTATTTACCTTTGTGAATTTTCTATAAATTTCAATTTACACATCGATTTTAGATTTGAGGTTATCTAATGCAAAACCTTTAAGACTTCTTGAGATAATTCAATGATTTTAATCATCTATTTAAGATATAAAAAAGTATACTACTAAAAAAAATAAAAATCTAAGCAGATTATAAACATTTTATGTGTCCATTTCATTAATACTATTAAATCCCAAAAGACACAGTGTCCTTAATAAAAGACTACAACACCAGATGATGGAAACTTTAACATTACTGGCATAAGATCTGTACAAATAGCCCAAGGCATTTGTATTGTGTTATATGAATAAATTTCATCAGGGCATTAAACTCTGTCTAATGAAACAAAGGCACAGACTTTTGCAGAGTTAACATGTAATGTTAAG